TAAATAAATAAATAAATAACAAAAAGTGGAGTAATAAACTCTTACCGTGACGAAGCTGAAAAGCGTCAACATAGACTTTCCCAAACTGTTCCAATAAGGGTTTGGGGGCCTTGTCTCTCCGGAACCGAAGAAATGATATGCAGAGATCGCAAATATGTACCTGAGGATCAGTGATAGATGCAGGGTTGTTACACGAAGTGGCAGAAGACACAGAGGAGGACAGAGCAGGGAGGGAGGGTGGGAGGAAGGGAGGAGGAAGGGAGGAGGAGGAGGGAGGGAGGGAGGAACGAAGAGCGGTCACCCTAGATCTCTTATCAAGTTGCGGCACTCGCAAAGGGAAGAGGCGATCAACTAACATGCTGCGAATAACTGGTGACACCCTTGGTTTTTCCAGAAAGGGAGAGAAGAGTAGAGTTTATCAGGGTTTCAGTTTGGGGACAATAGTAGAGTTTTACGTCTTAGGGTTTAGGTCATAGGGTTCATGACCCAGCAAGGGGTTGCTGGAGGTAAATGAGTGGACTAACATGACCACCAGCAAGAGGATGAGAAGAGGAACAACACTAATGGTTACTAGGTGGTGTCATTTCTGGCAAAATTTTCACCGAAACTGCCATATTTCCCTGTTTTTTTTTTTTTTTTTTTTTTTTTTTTTTTTTTTTTTTTTTTTTTTTTTCGTATGTGTGTGTGTGTGTGTGTGTGTGTGTGTGTGTGTGTGTGTGTGTGTTTGTGTGTGTGTGATACTTATGTGCTTTAGGGTTTATCTGTATTCAGTTTCGAGTCTTTCGACGCATTTGGACCAGTAACGAAAAAGTTGGCAAAAACACCGAATTCAGAGAAAAAATTGGCGAACTCCGAAAGCTACTTCAAATAGGGTTTTATAGTGATTTTTTTGTTTTTTTTTTTTGTTTTTTTTTTTCCGCCTGTTTGGTTTGTTGATGTTTGTCTTATGAGCCTGCAATGTTTGTTCACGAAATTTTCGATGACATTGCTTGTGGTGATGCGGCAAAAAAAACCCAAAATTTGGGCCTTCCATTCTCTCTTAAATGGTCTCGATGAACGCGTATAGAATTTTGGGCTTAGGACTACCAGTTTAGGGTTAAGGTTTGTTGGAGGTAACAGACAGGTTTCACATGGCCACCAGCAGGAGCACCAGAAGAGCTGCAACTTGTTGAATCGCTGCGATGAAAGCATTTAGTGTTTAAACATCATATTTTAGGACTTAAACCACTAGTACCCGTCCGGTTTCGACAAGTTTTAGCCAAGTCCCAGACTTTTAGGAGGCCAGGCCTGACAACGGCTGCCATTGATAAATCTGATCGGCGGCCGTCGTTTCGTTTCAGCCTCCTCCTGAAAAGGTTGGAGGCCCACTATTTTCCAAATCGACAAAGGTACTAGTGTTTTAACTTTTAAGGCTTCGGGTTAGGGTTTGTTGGAGCCTTGGAGGTAATCGATGGGGCTCACATGGCCACCATCAGGAGCAGCAGAAGTGATCCAACTTGTGGAATGTTTTCGTTGCATCCATTTAGGGTTCAGGGTTTAGCGTGCAGGGTTTAGGGATGAGGCTTAAATTACACTTAAACACACCAGGACCTGTACCAGCTACAAAAAAAAGTCGCGGCCGTTAACGTGCCACGACTTTAGGGGGTCGGGCGAACGAACGCCCGGTCGCTGATTATTCAAAAAAAAAAAGGAAGGAAAAGAGAAAAAACAAAGACAAAGAAAAAAGAGATTCGAAACGAAAAAAAAAACAAAAGAAAAATGCACGGCGCGCGGGGTGGGGTAAGACTTAGAAACG